GTCGAAGCAAGATCTTCAGTCAGTAAGGAAAGACTATATTGTAGTAACCAACTGTACCTAGAGTCGAAGCAAGACTACAAAGGTTAAGTAAGTAACTACAAGTTAGAGGTAAAGATAACGAAGTACTCACTCTTCAGTCAGTAAGGAAACACCGAAGAGGGAGGACGCAATCTGAAGTCCTTATATACTACAGAGAAGTGTCCATGACTAATCAAAGAGTGGTTAGTCACATGTACCATAGTGCAATGAATAATACAACGACGAAAGAATTGCAACGTATCGCACCATAGGATGAGTAATAGATGAGTAAGGCATAGACCTGTCTAGACCGTTCTGGAGTAGTACGGATTGTCCTAGACAGTACCAGAAGAGTCCGGAAGCATAGCTATAGTACACGAGCAGAGAGTCCCAAATATGGTAACATACTACATAAGCGACTACAGCTAAGCGCTAGGAGACGCATAGCCTCGTGTAGTCCGGACCGGATAAGTCCAAGTTCAACAGCATCACTTCCTTTCAAGAGCCGTACACTCGCGACATACAACCACGTTTTCACGAAAACAAAGCACTCAACAAACCTTTCATCAGGCCTCTCAAACCGCACCGGCATCAGTTCACTGGCGTGCGCTTCTCCCCTGTCATCACCGCGCGATGCACGCCAGCAGATGTCGCCGTCTGTGAACCGTGTGAAGTGCTTCCTATCCCCATCATTACCGGACTTTCTGACACCCTGAGCAGGTCTCTTGTGTAGTAAAGCACTCAGTGCGCGTGTACGCGGGACTAATATATATTTATAATACCTGTAGTAAAGCACTATAGAGTGATAGTAAGCATAAGCAATCGAAGTAAGTAATAATCGTATACTCACCTCAGTACGCGTGTACGCGGGACTGAGGTGAGCTGACTGAAATCGGGGGTACTTAATACCATACTAGAACAAGACATGTACGCTACAAGACAAATGAGACGTAGCATTCGAGAACAAAGTGGGATGAATCCGCCTAGGCGCGACAAGCCGCGACAAGGCGCATCACCGGCGCGACAAGACTGTTCGCCTGAGACACGGCCGGGGCTCTCGCACCACGCTTACCTTGCCGTACGCGTTCCAACACTCCCCCTCAAGCAGGTGCGAGACCGAGCGCAGCAGCAAAATGCTTGACCTTGACGGAAGGGAGCGCCTTTGTCAGGATGTCGGCTGTTTGGTTGTCCGTAGGGCAGTAGATAAGGTGAATATCGCCGGCATCGATGGTGTAACGAATAAAGTGGTATCGAATATCAATATGCTTGGTGCGCGCATGGTAGGACCCATCCTTGGTGAGTGCGATAGCTGATTGGTTGTCGCTGTGGAGAGTGGTGGGCTTGGAGGGGGGGCGGAAGATTTTGCCAATGATGCGACAAAGCCAAATGGCCTCCTTTGCGGCATGTGTTGCGGCGACATACTCGGACTCGGTGGTCGAGAGCGTGACGAGTTCTTGTTTCTTTGAAGACCAAGAGATCGCGCCGCCGTCGACAAGGAATACGTACCCAGTGATGGCGTGCCTGTGCTCCTGTGAGGCCCCATCCATGTCCACAAATCCCTCCAGTTCATTCTGTCGTGCTCCGTAGACCAGTGACAAATTTCTCGTCCCGAGGAGGTACCTGAAGACTCTCTTAACCGCCTCCCAGTGAGCCCATCCTGGATTCTCCGAGTACTGCGCCAGCATTGTCACGGCGAACGCGATGTCGGGTCTCGTACCTAGAGCGGCGTACATTAGCGCACCAATGGCCTCGCGATACGGAACGTGTTTCATGCGCGCAACGTCGATCGCGGTCTCCGGGCACTGTGCCTTGGAGAGCATGGCGTGAGGGTCCATCGGGGTCGAGATGGGTTTGAGATCGTCGAAATTGAAGCACGTGATGATTGCGTCGATGTACAAATGTTGCAACAAGGAGAGGGTGCGCGCGACAAGGTCGCGACTGACTTTGATGCCTAAGAGCCAGCTTACCGGACCCAGGTCCGTGAGCTTGTACTTGCTCGCGATGTGCTTCTTGTAGTTGTCGACGGAGGGACGGGAATCGCCTGCGATCAGGCAATCATCGACGTGGATGGCTAGAATGATGAAATGGTTTTCGTCGCGCTTGTAGAACACGCCGTAGTCGGCCTCTGTGCGCGTGAAACTCAGGTCAGCCAATGCGGCGCACAAGGTTTTGTACCATTTGCGACCACCCTGCTTCAGCCCGTACAATGCTTTGTCGAGCTTGAGCACGAATTTGTGGCGGTCCGTGAATTCGTGGTCCGGGGGCTGCTCCAGGTAGACATCCTCCTTGAGGGTGGAGTTGAGGTACGCGCTATTGAAATTAAAAGAGTCGGCGGGCCAATTGTTGCGAGCAGCGGTGGCGAGGATGAGGCGGAAGGAGGAGAGACGAGCGACGGGGGCAAAAGTTTCGTAGTAGTCGACGCCGTACACTTGCGTGAAGCCGCGCGCGACAAGGCGCGCCTTGTACTTGTCAATCTCGCCGGCCGCGTTCTTCTTGATGTGCAGGACCCATTTGCTGTCCACAACGTTGCCGGTCTTGGGGCGCGGGACAAGGTGCCAGGTGCCGTTGGAGGTGAGTGAGTCGAGCTCGGCCTTGATGGCCTGTTGCCACTTCGGCCAGTCCAGGCGCTTCTTCGCTTCCACGTAGGTGGGATCGATGCATTCCGCGTCTCCGGTGGCAGCGGCCATGGCCATCTCCACCATCTCCCATTCCTCCCGTTCCTCGCGCGACAACATCCCGGACCCCTCTACTTCCCCCACCTCCTACAATGTCGCGCTCGACATTCCTCTTGGCAGCGTGGTCCGTCCTCGCCCATCCGTGCTTCCTTCGCCACTCCTCAACCTCCTGACGTAGTCCGACTCCTTTCGGACATGTCGCGGTCGACCACTTGTAGCGACAGGATCGCGCGTCACGTCCGCCGGATCGCGCGACAAGCCTTCAGCGGAAGGAGTGGTGGGGTCGGCATCAGTGCCAACAGGAGTAGTGGGGTCGGCATCAGCGCCGACGGGGGACGTCGTAGGGACGAGCTCGCCGTTTTTCAGGTGCATTTCTTCTTGTTGTCCCTCGGTTTGCTGATCTTGCTCCCCCTCGAGCTCCACCTCGACGTCGTTGTTGTCCGGCTTGAAGCGCACGCTGTGCTCAACCGTGACGATGCGGCGATCGGGCCAGTAGACGCGATGCGCGTCGGTCGCCTCGTCCCACCTGACCCACCGTCCCGTCTGTGCCCTCGCCGCCAGCTTTATGGCAGGTATTTTGTACAAAAAATCAAGGATACACAGGTATCCTAGAAAAGTAGAAATTCAGCACAGGTTACGCACTATTCATTCAAAAAATGCACGGGTTGTACCATTTAATGAAAGACGTAGGTCATTTGGCTGTAAATTGCACAGGTTGTCCCTATGACACAGGTTTAGAAAGTAAGATACACACAGGCTGAAACTGCAGCTCAAGCTACCCTGCAACAATTGCACAGGTTTTGTGGTCTACACAGATTCATCTGCAGCTTGTTGACTGTTGCAACACAGGCTGATAAGTACCTTAGTTCAAACTGATAACCCCCTCTTCATATAAGTCCACATTCCAACTGATAACACTGCTATTGGCAAAGGATTGGAATTATTATTCTGAATAAGTTCCACACCACCAAGTATATGTGATGACTAGCTAAAAATGAAATATGCGGAAATTGCACCACGCACAACTGTTGGACTACCCATCCCACTTTCCCAGCCCATTATAGCTGCTAAGCACCATTACCTCAGGTGACTAAGCCAGGTACTTGTTAGGACTGTGCCGCCGGAGTTCCGGAGTTCCGGGGTTAGGGGTCGGAGCTGGGCAGACACGGGGGGAGGACTTCGGCAAAGCTATTAGCAACACCCTAAGGATCCTGACGGTGTCCTCGATTTCGGAATCGGAGGTCGGGCGGAGATCGGACGGAGATCGGACAGAGGTCGGCAGAGAACGAACAGAGGCAGGGAGAGTAGATTGAAGTAAGATAACTGATAGAGTACAAGCGGAGCGTAAGGTAACGAGATATCTGAACTGAGGAACGCCGCACTGAGTCCGAGGGTTTATATACTAAGAAACCTGTGTCTCCTAAGTCCGAATCGGAGGTGGAGGTCTGATCGGAGGTGGCGGAATACCGACACTAAGTGGAGAAGTGATGTAAGTGGCGCCAGGCACTGATATGGGAAAACAGACATTCCAGCAGAGATAGGGTAGACGCTCAGAAAGCCATATGGGCCCCGGTGGGGAACGGAAAGGAAACGGAAAGGAAATCGGAACCAGTACGTAAGTATCTATTTGTAAGCAAGTCCGGAGGTCCGGTGGAGTTAGCGCGGTGTCCAACGGAGTTTCGGAGGGACTTGGGCATGGGACATAACAGTACTGCGTTACTTCTCTGTGTTGGTGCATCAGCTGTGATGCCTACTATTACAGTATATATATAGCTATCCTCGAAACGGTGCTAACTGATAACCTTCAAAGT